TACATAGCTCATCGTTCTAAAAAAGCGAGGTGTGCTCTGATTGGCCAGCTATCCAGTGTGTTGTGATTGGCCAAATGCCTCAAGCATGTGACGGAAATGTTACGCCCATTAACATACTGTGATGCCGTCTCCCAGCAGGACGAGACTCAGCCCAGCTGCAGAAAGGAAAAATTTAAATCGCATCATATGACCCCTTTAATGTCCTAATGATTTTTTGTCATAAAAGAAAAATCAATAATTTTGACCCATACAATGTATTTTTGGCTGTTGCTACAAATATACCCCAGCGACTTAAGACTGGTTTTGTGGTCCAGGGTCACATATGTATATATATTATGCAATTACAGTTTTTTTTAAAAATAATTTTAAGATTTGATTCAATCAAGTGCACTTCTTTTTCACAAAGGAGCCGCCCATCCACCTCTGCAAAAGTTTTAAAAAATCTCATTAAACGTTGAGTCATATGTTTTCATATATTAAAATTTGAGTGTAAATCAACTACTGATCTGTAAAGCAATATATAACAGTTGCTGCAGTTGTTTTACAAATATAGCAGTTTGCTAAGCAGATTTCTGAGTGCAGCCTCAGCAATAAAATCACTGTTTGGTACTTTTGTCCTGACCAGTTTTGAGCACGCAAACATACTCTTGAGGACAGAACTGTTGAGTGCGCTCTTTTTTGGCACATGAACCATTAATTCATACCACTGTTTTCACGCTGCAGTGTTTTAAAACTTTTCCTAACACATGAGTGAGATTCTGTACAGTATATTGCAATGCACATTCGGTATGTTTCTAACAGAGCTGAAAATGAGATGTTTATTTCCTAATTAGATGCCAGCCAAGAATTTTATTTAGGCTACCTCCTGCATGTCAGTACAAACCGTTCTCTGCAAAGATGGCTGAAAAATTAAAGACCCCTTGAAGTTACTTGGACAGAAATTTGTTTAGCGCAACATGACTCATCAATATTTTTTGCTCTAATTTCCCAGAAGGGAAAGACTACATTTTGAATGCATTTATGTGCTAAAATATGAATTAGTTAATCTTTAAGTGTTTACTAGCATATAGATGCTTCAAACACATGGATTAAACTCACATTTTGATTTCATGGAGCCTTTAAATAATAAATATTGTTTTTTGAGCACTGAAATCAAATATACTTAGATTCATGTGTTTGTTGTAACACATTCCCCCTTTTTAATTCTTTCCAGCCTTGGTGAGGAGTTTTACCGTGATGCCATTGAGCACTGCCGCAGTTATAATGCTCGACTTTGTGCTGAACGCTCCATGCGCCTGCCTTTTCTCGACTCCCAAACAGGCGTAGCACAGAGTAACTGCTACATATGGATGGAGAAGACCCATCGTGGGCCAGGTGTGTGTCTATGTGTACAGTGTATCATGCTACACAGGTGATTTTGTCGTAAGGTTGAGGTTTGGATGTTTTTGCAATGACCCTGGTTCTTTTTTGAACCCAGGTGTGGCTCCAGGGCAGCTCTATACCTATCCTGCACGCTGCTGGAGAAAGAAGAGACGGTTAAACATCTTAGAGGATCCACGTCTTAGACCCATCGAGTTTAAAATCGGTGAGAGTTGGTATTGAGAAAGGCAAACATAAATCTTTGATGCATTTTTGTTGTTTTGTTGTTGTTGTTTTTTTTTTGGGGGGGGGTAGCTGGGATTTTTTTTTATATGACAATCATGTATTCTCACACGACCCTAATAAAACAAATTATTTATTAAAATAAATTCTAGTCAGCTAAAGAAAAACAGAAACTTATTGTATTTACTTGGTCTGAATGTAATTTTAAACAGACAAATTTATAAAAAAAAAAAAATCCACAAGTGACCCAAAAATAAGTTCAGAGAGATTTGTTGGTTACATTTTTGAAAGAAGTCTCTTATGCTCACCAAGCCTGCATTTATTTGGTTAATGATACAATAAAAGAGTGATTTTGTGAAATATTATCGCAATTTAAAATATCTGTTTTTTATTTTAATATATTTTAAAATATAATTAATTAATGTGATGTCAAAGGTGACTTTTCAGCAGCCATTACTCCCATGTCACATGATCCTTCAGAAATTATTCTAATATGCTGACTTGCTGATCACGAAAAAATGTTATCAATGCTGAAACCATTTTTGTAACATTATAAATGTATTTACAGCCACTTTTGATCAATTTAATACGCCCTTGCTTGGGACACTTGGTTTTGCAGAATCAGTTTGAACAGAAATACATGAGATACATTATTTTTGGTGTGGTTTATAGTGGTTTATAGCTTCTACAAGTGTGTAATTTCTCATCAAATTACAGGTTTTGTGTGAGACCGTTAACGGTATTGTACCTTTTCTTTACTTTAAGACTTTAAACAAATGACAGAAAAACTGTCTGGCCTGGTCTTTTATGAGTTGTCTAGAAACGCCTTGGTGTGACAGTTGTTTACGGTGTGTGTCCAGACTATGAAGCAGCACTAAAGAAGGAAGGGGGTGTTCCTGAGGGTCCCGTTCTGGAGTCACTCCTCAGTGGAGAACTGCTGGATAAGAAGGTTGAAACAAAGGAAGAGGAACCCATGAGTGAATGCCAGGTAAAAAAGATTCCTCAACGGTGGTTTGCTCCCCCTAGAATGGTTTTGTAGACACACACTCAATAGTCAACTAGATAAAGAGTTGTATTACACACTCTGCCATGAAGTACACACTAAGACATTGTCATTTTTAGTACTTCCCGCCTCTCCATTCTGCATTTCTTTCTGCTTTCTATTGCCGTCTTCCTCTCTCTTCCTGTCTCTCCCCTTCTGATTTCTCTGTAGTACTTGTGTCTCTTTTTGGCAGTAACACAAATCCCTGCAGGGCTGACACACCCCCACTGGCAGACTTCCTTGTTAACCACAAAGTGTGTATGTTTGTGAGTGTATTTTTGTTATTTTGTGTTTGTCTGTGTCAGTACGTTTGACGAAGATGTATTGATTTTGCGGAGAACGGTTGCACATTTTCAATGTCTCTGGGTTTACAGGTATTACATTTGACCGTGTTGAGGTGCGAATGCTTATAGATCCTAATGAACCAGCTTGTCATTTGATGGAGCTGTCACTAGTGTCACCACCCTCACTGTTTTGCACACAACATGACATCTATCCTAGGGGTGGACAGTTAACCAATTAGCACTTCAATTAAGAGTCACTCTTTAGAGCACTTCGTCCCCTGGGAGCGGACCTGTGATCCTGCTGCTTGTTTTACCTCAGGCCCCTGCTGGAGTTAAAAAGCTGTGTGCCACCCTGCTACCTCTGTTTACTTCCCACAGCCACATATTATGAGTGTGCTTACAGTTGTGCACTTGCTAGGCAGTCATCGCAGTTAAGGCCCTGATACACTTCATCTGAAATCAAAGAACAAACTGGTGTGATGTCATTTTGAACAAAAACAACTAAGGCCCTGATATACTTCAAGCAAAATCAAAGAACGAACTGGTGTGACGTCATTTCAAACAAAAATGGTCAATGCCCCAAAATACTCCTGGCGAAATAGAAGATCGAACTGGTATGATGTCATTTCGAACAAAAAAAAAAGCTATGGTACTGAATACTTAAAGCGAAATCGAAGAACGAACTGGTGTGACGTCAATTGAAAAAAAAAATGCCAAGGCCACAATATACTTCAAACGAAATCAAAGAACTAGCTGGTGTGAAGTCATTTCGAACAAAAACAGCTAACAACTAGAGGCCTGATTTACAAGCGAAATCGAAGAACGTATTGGTGTGATTTCATTTTGGAAAAAAACAGCTAAGTTCCCGATATACTTCAATCAAAATCAAAGCACGAACCAGTATGAAATCATTTAGAACAAAAACAGGCCTCGATATACTTGTCTACACGGGACATGTCAAAGCGAACGTTCCAAATACTTTTATCCCACATTTTAATGTCCTATGAAATCGAAGAACGAACTGGTGTGACGTCATTTGGAAAAAAAAACCGCCAAGTCCATGATATACTTCAAACGAAATAAAAAACTAACTGGTGTGACGTCATTTCGAACAAAAACAGCTAACAGCTATACTTAAGTCCAATTCACACCGCATGGACAAACGCCAACAAACAAGTCTGTCAGAGTTTGTTAGATCAGTGTGTTACCCTTGTCGGCATTCATTGCTGTTGGTCGGAGTTTGTTTTCACACGACTGAACATGTTAAATCGGCGTTTGTTGTGTCGTGGAATGTCTGAGCGGTGTGATATGATTTTCCAACAGATGACAACAAACTCTGACGTAATCTGACCTGACCATGAACTGTTGCCATGCACACTTCACTTAAAGCGAGCTTCACCCGCAGCCTCTTTCGTTTTATTCGCCGTCTTTTCAGGCGAAGAATGACACGCAAAAACATTAATAACATACAAATTTTGATTGTGGTTACAGGATCATCCACTTTTCCCCCAGTCAGTCTTACACTGTGTCTACACCGGACGCGAGCGGCGCGGCGTGACCCGACAAAATACAATAGAACCTATTATAATCAGTGATGCTGTCTACACTGGATGCGGTGCTGCGTGTTGATTTGTGCAACATGACAAATCCCCAACAGTAAACTGATGTCTCGTTCTATTTATGATATACTGACAAGTACAAATGATTTGCAACGGTCGCTTTGTCGCATCCAGTGTAGACAGCGTATATCTGTTGCGGTGCGACACGACAACTGTCATGTCCGGTGTAACGTTAGACACAGTGTTACTTGACTCTTTGACTCGAAGTTTGTCAGTGTCTGTGAACATTACACTTATTTTTCATAAAATTCTAAATCCAACAGCCAACTTGTTTGATGGTGTTTGTTGGCGTTCGTCTGTGCGGTGTGAATTAGCCTTTAAAGAGAAATCGAAGAATGAACTGGTGTGATTTCATTTAGAACAAAAACAGTTAATACCACCATACACTTCAATTGAAATCGAAGAACGAGCTGGTGTGAACAAAAACAGCTAAGGCCTCAGTATACTTCAAGCAAAATCAAGAAAAAAAAATACAAAAACAAACCAAACCAAAACAAAACAAAACAATAACGGTGTGCTGTCATTTAGAATAAAAACATGCCGAAATGATGTTCGTTTTCCGGAGTTTGAAACAGCTTGCCAGGAAAGTTTGCTCTGGCTGGTAAACTATTATTGGAAGTACAGCAAATGGGTGGAGTAAATCAGAAATAGGGTTTACTTTCAACTGCTTATCGTCACGTCATTGACACTGCGCTGCATTACTCATTTTAATGGGTTCTGTTTTTCGCATGTTGTGTCGCACCGTTTGTATCCGGTGTAGACACTGTTAATAATCTGAACAAACTCTTAACCCTAGGTATTTACCCTAAAACCTTTGCCGTGCAACTCACTGCATGATGCACATTAATGATACTTGAAATTTATCATTATTCACATTTACCATTGCTGCACCATTATATGACAACAAAGGTGACCTAAATGTTAAAAGGACTGTTTTAGCTAGACCCTTATTTAATTTTTTTTGTGTGTGTGTGTGTGTGTGTGTGTGTGTGTGTTTATTCAAGAAACACTAACCATCTGTCCGCTGGGTAAACTTGCATGAATTGCTTAATGCCATTACAAGCTATTGTTTGATGTAAACTAATATAAAACATATTTTCCATGTAGTTTTTCTTAGGGTCTGTTATTCTCGCACTCGTCTTTCCAGCTTGTTTGACATTCTAGAGTTGTTCAAACAGTACAGCTGACTCATACAGTATGTGCTGGTCTTTCCTTGTGGTCACAGAAGCTGCTGGTGGGAGATTTTCCTCACGAGCTGGACATGGATGAGATGGAGGAGGATGTTCCCAAACGCAAGAATCGCACCAAAGGACGGGTACAACACATGCAGCTATAACATGTTCTGCAGTCACTAATTAATTAGTATGAATCATACTAATATTAGAGTGAATCATACAGTTGTAGGCTGATTAATCACAAGACTCAACTGGTTTTGCTTCAGAAATCATTTTAGCATCGGGCATCAAGTGCCGAGCCAAATGTACATGGGTCTGAGTCATATTTTTGTCTACCTTTAGTGGTTTGGATGTGAATAGATGGATTTTCTGGAGTTTGACTAGACGTACAATCTTAAATGTCAACAACAAAAAAAATACTGAAAGCATTTAAGCATTAAAGTATTTTAGAAGTTGATAAGCGATTTTGCTATCCTAACTATGCACTATCATATGGTTTGATGAATTTTATTATTTACATTCAGTATTGTTTGTTTCCCACTGTCAGAATATACCCGCCACACATTTTTGGGTTGCAATTGACCAGTTGAGAACCTCTGCTCTAGGTAGCAATTAGATCCACAACCCAAGGTTTTGTTTTAATATATCACAGGTTTGCAGTGAGCCCTGCAGGGTCTTTGTTTAATCTAGGATTTCTGTTTCTTCAAGGCTGCTGTCTGAACAAAGCAGGCTATTGTAGCTCATCAGCCATTGATCCATTATGGCTGTTTAGAACATATCCAGGTTTGATCCCTGCATACCTTTCATCATTGCGTTCTACTGGTTTTGTGTAGATTCAAAGCAGCTCTTTCCAAACAGCTATGAAAAACATCCTTTAATACCACTTTAAAGACAAGACCTGATGTGTGATAGCACATTGAAAACATGGCTAAGTTCATCTGTAATTACAACCTCACATACATGAAAGGCTGGAATTGTAAGTGGTTCTGTGCAGAAATGCATTCAAGACATGAAATGCACGATTCAAGAGTGAAATAAGATGGGGCACGTGGATTTAAATATGGCATATGATGAATTTTGATATGAATATGAAAATGGCAACCAAATTATTTTCAGATAACTTTGTGAAATAAAAATTGACATTAAAACTTAAATCTATTTATAATATAATATAATACAATACAGTTTTCTTTAGGGTTTTTTGAATATTCATGATTAATAACATAATAGTTAATTTGATCTTAATTCTACTTATATGTGCATTCAAATTAATTCAAAATCAGCCATGGAATTTACAGGGCAATGTATGGTGCACGACCGTGACAGAAAAGCATGTTTCAGTACTCTAGTTTAGCAGAAATACATACAAGGATAACAAACAGAATGTCTTCGATTCAGTCCCTAGAATCTCTCACCTTCTGTGCTGTTAATTGAGGCACACTACTTCCTCTAAGATCTCTCACACCCCACATAGTTATCCGGCAATGTGTGGAAGAGATGCTGTGATAATTGTGTGTAATTAATGCTGTGTAAGAGGATTTGCTGAAAGCTCAAAGAAGGAAGTGGGATGGGGGCTCCGCAGGGCCAAAATAACAATGGATCTCTAGCCGCACCTGGTTGTCAACTGTAAATTAATCTGTGGGTGTTTACATGCAATTTTTGATATGTCCAGGCATGTGGTGTTGGGGGGATGAGAAAGAGACAGGAACCAGCATCCCTAGAGGATCGAGACAAGCCATATGTGTGTGACAGTGAGTATCATGCGATAATAAACAAATGATCACAGAACAGATTTCTATATTTATTATTAAAGGGGTCATATGATGCGATTTCAATTTTTCCTTTCTCTTTGGAGTGTTACAAGCTCTTGGTGCATAAAGAAGATCTGTAAAGTTGCAAAGACTAAAGTCTCAAATCCAAAGAGATATTCTTTATAAAAGTTAAGAGTCAGCCACACCTACCTAAAACGACTCGTTCTAACACGCCCCCACATACCTACGTCACTATCTGGGAAGATTTGCATAACGCCACCCAAATGTTCACGCAAAGAAAGAAGGCGTAACTTTTATTCTCGCTGTAGTATTGTTGTTGCCGCCGCCGCCATGTCGTGAAGGTGCTGTGTGATTCGTTGTGAAAGCGAAACTACTTTGTTTGGCCTTCCAAAAGAGGACGATATCGCTTCCGTCATGCCTAGAGCCTAGAGCTGATCCGTGCTGGTTGCTGAGGCCTTGCTTTTCAGACCGATGAGCTTTGTAAAAATCGACGCGCTTCAGAAAGGCGGGGCATAGAGGAGAAACAATAATGTACAGTATGTGGAAAATAATGTGTTTTTTTAACCTTAAGCCGCATAAACACATTTCATTACACCAAATACACAAAATAATGTTCTTTTTAGCAGCATCATATGACCCCTTTAAAACCAGCATGGGGAAAGCAATAGTAGAACGGGTAATAAAAGTACCATATAGCCATATATACATGTACAATGCAATTCTCCTGATAATAGGATGTTTAATGTCAAGTTTTTTATTGTGGCGACTTATCCTGCATAGTGTTCCCAACATTCCCTACTGTTATCTGTAACTGTAACTGTATCTTTTCTCATGGGCAATAACAGCTGAAATGTTTATATACACAAATGACACAAATATTTTACAAACATAATACGTATAATATATATTATAATATTAATTTCAAATTAGTGATAGTTTAATAAATAATAATAATAATATGTACTAGCTATTATTATACAAATATAATACTTATTGGTGATGTTTAATTATTAAATTGAAATCAAATTAATTTCAATGATGAAATACACCAATAAATTACTTTAAATTATTTATAGTAAATAATACTACTAATAAAATAGAAAAATGTATTAAATAGCTTTTACTATACAAATCTAATGCTTATGATTAGTTTTTAATTATTAAATTAAAATATAATTATTTTAATTATTAAATTAATTACTGATAAAAATTTAATTAAGTATTGATAAATAATAATAATATGTGTGTGTGTGTGTGTATATATATATATATATATATATATATATATATATAATACAGTTATTATTAACCAAATATAATACTTATGAGTAATGTTTATTAAATTAAATTTTTTTTATTATACTTTATTTTATTAATAATACTTATGAGTAATTTTTAGCTATTAC